TTTTGCTTCCCCCCCCCATCAGAACGCATGCAGGCTGGGGAATGCTGGGAGTGGAAGTCCATCCATCTTAAATCATGCAGACTGGGGAATTCTGGGAGTGGAAGTCCTCCCATCTTAAAGCATGCTGACTGGGGAATTCTGGGAGTGGAAGTCCTCCCATCTTAAAGCATGCTGACTGGGGAATTCTGGGAGATGAAGTCCACCCATTTTAAAGCATGCCGGCTGGGGAATTCTGGGAGTGAAGTCCTCCCATCTTAAAGCATCCTGGCTGAGGAATTCTGGGAGTGGAAGTCCACCCCTCTTAAAGCATGCTGGCTGGGGAATTCTGGGAGATGAAGTCCACCCATTTTAAAGCATGCCGGCTGGGGAATTCTGGGAGTGGAAGTCCACCCATTTTAAGCCATGCCGGCTGGGGAATTCTGGGAGTGGAAGTCCTCCCATCTTAAAGTTGCCAATTTGGAAGACAACACTGTGGCTGGATAAACAAAAGCACCACCACCACACTTTTTTCCAAGTTAGCTTCCTGGCCCATCTCTCCAATTCCACTCCTGATGAAAACCCCAAGCGTGTCTCATTCTTCGCGAAACCAAACTTCCTTTTTCCTTCTTTGCGGAATTCTCCTGTCTTACAGATTTTCCTCCCCGTTTTTTTTTTTTCACTACTTCCAGAGGGAAAGACGGAGAAGCGAAGCCAGTTCACATGCCCAGCCGTACAGCTGAAATTTGCGAATGCCAAGAAGGCCAAGAAGGCGTCAAATTGATGACTGGCGTGTCTCTTTCTCTCCCTCCGATGCCCCAGCTAGCCCTGGCTGCTTCCTTTTGCAAAACGCTTGGCTTTCTTAATGATACCTGTCTAATTGTCATCATCTTAAGAGGCAGAAAACCAGGCGGCGTAAAATGCTGACGCAGACAGGAAAGCCGTGCATTTCAGAGAAACTTCAGATTTTCTCTTTCCTCGGTCCTCCACACCTTGTGAGCTTCTCTGATATTTCTGAACCATCAAAAGGGGTGGCCCCAAAAATTAATTACGGGGGGGGGGGGGCACCAGTTTCGGCTTATAACAACATCAGAATTTGCATGGCTTACGATTCTTTGGTCGTTAGTCAGGACCAAAAAAGAAGGAAATAACTTTTTTGGTTTGTTTACGTCGTGTTAGCAACCAAGTTAGCAAAATAAGCGGACAGGTAGTTCTTGAGTTACGACCAGGGATGGGCTTCAAAAATTTTAGCAAGGGGTTGCTAAATTTTTTTTGCTGGGTGGGCGTGGCCATGGTGGGCGTGGCCTAGTCGGCTTCCTCTGCCAGCGAAAACGGAGTGGGAACCTTCAGAGTCGGTTTTCACCAGAACTGTGCCAATATGACATATCCAATAAAACTATTCTTTGAGGAATCTACCTGCCTCGGAGTTTTGTTTGCTGTGGGTATGTTACTTGGAACTCGGACAGATAGTTGCTTTGCTCTGGCAAGATTCTGTCTGTAGCCAATCGACAATAATGAAACTACTCAGAAGTTACTCCACGGGTCATTCTTGGTTTGTGGAGTCTGAAACAAAGAAAGGTACATAACTCTGGTTGGCTGGTGGCTTGAGAGGCCCCTTCCTCTGCCTTTATTAAACTTTTTAACTACCGTATTTTTCAGACTATAAGACGCACTGGACTATATTCTTTCTTTCTTTCTTTCTTTCTTTCTTTCTTTCTTTCTTTCTTTCTTTCTTTTTTTCTTTCTTTTTCCTTCTTCCTTCCTTCCTTTCCTTTCCTTCCCTTCCTTCCTTCCTTCCTTCCTTCCTTCCTTGTATTTATATGCCACCCTTCTCCAGAAGGACTCAGGGCGGGTGAACACAAGTTAAAAACATGTACAACAAAATCCCATTTTAAACCAAATTAACTAATGAATAATAAATGAATTAATTAATGAATAATAAATAATAAAACCCAGAATCAGAGTCAGCCTATTTGCTTGAACAGCCAAGTCTTCAGGTCCTGACGGACGCACCTACCTTTTTTGGTGAGAAAAAGAAGAAAAAGAAATCTCTCTATGCCTCTGCCTCTGAGCAGCAAACAGCCTGCTTTACTTTCATTTTCATTTTCAGCATAGCATGATTAGCACAAGGGGGAAAAAAAAAAAATCTGCTCCAGCAATTTACCTCCTTGGAGCAAGCAGCAGAGCCCTGTGCAAAACAGCTGAAAGCAAAACAGCTGAGAGTCGGGAGGCCGATCCAATCAACTTGTGCTAATTAGGCTGTGCTGAAGCTGAAAGGAGCTGTTTCTTCTTGCTGTTTGCTTGCACGGAGGTAACTGCTGGGAGGCAGAGGCCAAAGGGTGGGGGCCAGTGGGGTGGGCTACATTCAGTGTATAAGATGCACCTAAATTTTCACCCCCTTTTAGGGGGGAAAAAGGTGCGTCTTATACTCCGGAAAATACTGTAGTCTTTTAAATTCTGCTCTTGTTTTATTCTTCATGCTGTTTTCATTCTATTTCTTTCAGGTGATTTTATCGTTTGGCTCTGTAAAACGCCCAGAGTCTCTTGGACAGGGAGATGGGGCAGAGTCTACATTTGATTAATAAAATATGATAAAATGAAGTTAAAGTTGACTGGACAAGGCCTTTTTGCAGTGGGAGAGGCCTTGAGTCTAAGATTCCTACGGGTTAAGCCAAAATCTGAAATTCATATTTGCAGCCTGTACTTTTAACTGGAGCTTCTTGGAGGAAGAGTGTGTGCTCCTTTATCAGATGGGGAAAAAAAATGATAGATTTAAAGTCACCGGAGGCTAATAAACCACCCTTGAGTTTATGGCGTGGACTGAGCTGAGAAGGTCCTTGTCAAGAGTTTCCATCCGGAATTACAAATGTTCTATTGTGATGGATTTGCCTTAAGAGGGAAAGGAAGGAAGGAAGGAAGGAAGAAGGGAAAAGAAGGAACAACAGTCTTTTAGAAGTCCAATTGACTTGTTGGGGAGTCAATTCAGCTTTTCTGCCGAGAACGTGACAGAAGGAAGAGGGATTGTCACATTTTATTTTATTTTTTTAATTTTGGCAAACACAACACTGAGTGATTTAAGATTAGAACATGACCATGGCTGCAGGTTCAAGGCCAGAACCGAAAACCGGTTGCAGAGAAACTTCCAGCTGTGGCCTTACTAAGGCTTTATAAAACGGTACTAATACTTCACATGATTTTGATTCTATGCCTCTGTTTATACAACCAAAGGATTGTATTAGCTTTGTGTAATTCAGTGGTGGGTTCCTCCCGGTTCGGCCGAGCCAGTAGCGGTGATGATAGATGTTACCGAACCGGTTCTCTTTCTTCGGGAACTGGGCCCTCCCGCCCCCCCCATGTTATTCTTACCTTTTATTTGGCCCCGCCCCCAATCTATTGCTGCCTCCCGAGTCCCAGCTGATTGGCTAGAAGGAAAAAAACTGTTTAAACTCTTGCCAAGGGGCTTCAAAGGGCCGCCCTAAAGCTGATCAATGTTAAAAGGCAGTGTGGTGGTACACCGGTGCCTCCAAAAACGAATGAGTAGACCGGTGCCTCCAAAAACAAATGAGTAGACCGGTGCCTCCAAAAACGAATGAGTAGACCGGTGCCTCCAAAAACAAATGGGTAGACTGATGCCTCCAAAAACGAATGAGTAGACCGGTGCCTCAAAAAACAAATGGGTAGACCGATGCCTCCAAAAACAAATGGGTAGACCGGTGCCTCCAAAAACAAATGGGTAGACCGGTACCTCCAAAAACGAATGAGTAAACCGGTGCCTCCAAAAACAAATTGGTAGACTGATGCCTCCAAAAACGAATGAGTAGACCGATGCCTCCAAAAACAAATGGGTAGACCGGTGCCTCCAAAAACAAATGAGTAGACCGGTGCCTCCAAAAACAAATGGGTAGACTGGTGCCTCCAAAAACAAATGGGTAGACTGATGCCTCCAAAAACGAATAAGTAGACCGGTGCCTCCAAAAATGAATGAGTAGACCGGTGCCTCCAAAAACAAATGGGTAGACCGAGGCCTCCAAAAATGAATGAGTAGACCGGTGCCTCCAAAAACAAATAGGTAGACCGGTGTCTCTGCAAGCAGTTAAAAGCCTGGTAGACCAGTACCTCTGCTAAATCCTCAAGAATTGTCACATGACCATCAAGCCACGCCCACAAAATAAACCACGCCCACAGAACCAGTAGTAAAAAAATTTAGACCCCACACCCCTGGTGTAATTGTATATTAGCACAAGGAGAGGCCTAACCTAGAACGAAGGAGAAATTTCCTGACGGTGAGGACAATCGGCCAGTGGAACAACTTGCCTCCAGAAGTTGTGGCTGCTCCAACACTGGAGGTTATGAAGAAGAGATTGGACAACCCTTTGTCTACAATGGTATATAGCAGTGTTTCTCAACCTTGGTAGCTTGAAGATGGCTGGACTTCAACTCCCAGAATCCCCCAGCCAGCAGCATGGGAAAACAAGGAAAAAAGAAAGAAGGAAAGAAGAAAACAAGGAAAGAAAGGAAGGGAGAGAGGAAATAAAGAAGGAAGGAAGGAAGAAAACAAGGAAAGAAGAAAAGGAAAGAAAGGGAGGAAGGGAGGAAAGAAAAAAAGAAGGAAGGAAGGAAGGAAGGAAAGAATAAAACAAGGAAAGAAAGGGAGGGAGGAAAGAAAAAAGGAAGGAAGGAAGGAAGAAAACAAGGAAAGAAGGGAAGGGAGGGAGGGAGGAAAGAAAGAAGAAAACAAAGAAAGAAAGGGAGGGAGGAAGGAAGGAAGAAAACAACAGAAGGAAGGGAGGGAGGGAGGAAAGAAAGAAAAAGAAAGAAAAAAGAGGGAAGGTAGGTAGGTAGGTAGGTAGGTAGGTAGGTAGGAAAGAAAGAAAGAAAGAAAGAAAGAAAGAAAGAAAGAAAGAAAGAAAGAAAGAAAGAAAGAAAGAAAGAAAGAAAGAAAAAGAGTAGCAGGCATTGTTGATCAAAAACAGACCCCTGACAGCTTTATACATCAAGGTAGTTGGGGGACATTCCTCTCCTACCGAATAACGCCCATGTCATCCAGGCGGCTGAGTCACCATCCCAAGGCCAACCAGCAGCTTCAGAGAAGGAAGAGCTGCCAAACAGACACCTCCGAAAGCAACTTCAGCTGCTTTCCGCGAGGTTATTAGCAAATTTCCCTCTTTTAAGAAGTCAGAACCGAAGAAGCTTCCCGGATGAGAAGTGAAACGTCTTCAAGGAAAAAACAAACAAAACAACAACAACAAAAAAGAGAGAATCCAGGTGCCGGAGAACCTCCGAGCGACATTTCTCTCTTAAGAATATTTTTCAGTTGCTTCATTGGGAGACTTCCAAGTAAACAATGACTACCATCTCTCTCTCTCTCTCTCTCTCTCTCTCTCTCTCTGATTCATCCCGCTTTGATGAACGTCCATGCAACCTTCCTGATTTCCCAACCGGACTGGAGGCTATTTGTGATACACCCAGCTGACCGTCCCGGCTTTCCTGCCCCAAAGATGTGGCAATCTGGCACGGAAAGCACGACGCTGCCGGGAAAAAGCACTGAGGTCACCAATGTGTCACCGTGGTAGCAATAAGCAACTTGAGACTTATATAGCGCTTCACGGGGCTTTCACAGCCCTCTCTAAGCGGTTTACAGAGTCAGCATATTGCCCCCCCCAAACAATCTGGGTCCTCATTTGACCCGCCTCGGAAGGGCGGAAGGATGAGTCAACTTTGAGCCAGTTACTAAATGAATGGTCAATGGTCCATTCTATTTTCTAAAGCACCTGAAGGCAAGAAAAAGAAACAATGGATGGAAACGAATCAAGGAGAGAAGCAACCTGGAATTGAGGAGAAATTCCCTAACAGGGAGGACAATTAACCAGTGGAACAGCTTGCCACCAGAAGTTGTGGGTGCTCCATCACTGGAGGTTTTTAAAGAATCAGAGATACGGAGCCAAAGAACCAGAGATACGGAGGATCCCGGATCTACACACTTTCCACCGTGCTCTTAAGATTCTTCTATTCCAGCAAGACAAAACGCGATTCTCCTATCCTTGTTCTCTTAGACTGCACAGCTTTAGATGACGTACCATTTCATCATGAAGCTTTTGAATAAAAAAAATGTCCACTATTTTGTGAAAAAAAAAATAGTGAACATAATGTGAAAAAAGCACAAATAGTGGACACCTGGCAACTCTACCTCTGATGCATGTGCATGCATCATGGACATGCATTTTTGGCAGTCAGTGCCAAAAAGATTTGCCATCACTCTTATAAGGTCTCCTCCTTGACCTTATTGGACTAGAAGATCTCCAAGGCCCCTTCCAGCTCTATTCTCTTCTAAATGCTCAAAAAAAACCCGAAACAAAAGATCAAAATTCCGGCTGAGCCTCCAACCTCAAAGGGTTCCCTTAGCCAGATTCGGAGGAGGCCAAAGGTTGACCCTGCATTTTTGCCTTATCAGCTCAAGGCAAGGGTTATCCGAGAGGCCTCTGCCCCCCTACCCCACCCCACCCCGTGTGCTCGGGAGCCCGAGGAACGTGCAACTTGGTGGAGAGAAGGCCCATCAAGGAGCTGACTCTCCCCCGCAGGAATGTGGTCCCCGAGACAAGTGGAGTTCACACCACTTGACTCGATGGGGGCGAAGAAAGCGCTTTTAATTCACAGCACCCTTCCTGGGACCAGGAGCAAAGGCGGAGGCAGGAACGAGGGCACCAGCTGTAAGCAAACACCCAGAGCTGACAACGTGTCAGATATACTCGTGTTTCCTTGATCGGCCGGTGTTTGCCGACAAAGGAACTCCTGCCACCGCCTCCTGCCCGGCATGACCCTGTGGCTGCTTTCTTCCGGAGGAGGCCTATCGGCTCCAATCAGAATCCGGGAGATGCACAATACAGAACCGTAGAGTCAAAAGGGACCTCGGAGGTCTTCTAGTCCAACCTTCTGCTGAAGCAGGTCACCTGATCGTTCCGGACTAATGGCTGTCCACCCTCTGTGGGGGCACCCACTATCTGGAACGAGCTCCCCCCGGAGATACGGAGGATCCCGGATCTGCGCACCTTCCACCGTGCTCTTAAGACCCTCTTACTCCAGCAAGCCAGCCTGGCCTAATTTTTCTCCCCTTTCTTTTAAATTTGAAATTTTAATTAGTTTTAAATTTATTGGGATTTTAATTGTCGTGGGCCAATATTATTTAATTTGGTTTTAAATTGTTTTTAACTTTTGTATTTCTGTATTTTATCTTGTGCCTGTTCACCGCCCTGAGTCCTTCGGGAGTAGGGCGGTATACAAATTTAATAAAACTAAACTAAAACTAAACTCTTCTTTCTGGCGCCCTTGCAAATACTGGAATACTGCTATCATGTCCGGAGGTGATTTTGACATCATTTTACAACTGGTTCGCCGTGCGCCGAAAATGTGAGCACAGGGGGTCCAAGCATGTGCTTTTTTTTTTTTTGCTTTAATTTATATGCCGCCCTTCTCCGGAGACTCAGGGCGGCTTACAATGTGTTAAGCAATAGCCTTCATCCTTTTGTATATTTATACAAAGTCAGCTTATTGCCCCCACAAACTGGGTCCTCATTTTACCTACCTTACTGCATCTTTAGAAAGGATGGAAGGCTGAGTCAACCTTGAGCCTGGTGGATTCGAACTTGCAGTAATTGCAGGCAGCTGATGTTAATCACAGTGCTTTAGTCCACTGTACTACAGGCTCTTTTCACACAGGCTCTTTGCTCGTACGCACGGCTCGCACACATGCGCGCGGCTTAGAAAACGTGGCTAAACGTGGCATAGCACCGGGTGGGTATGCGGGCCCACCTGCAGTTCGCCACTACCGGTTCGAATACCACTACAGATCATGTCCTCCTCCTAGTCCTTCTTTTCACTAGACTAGCCATGCCTGATTCCTGCAACCGTTCTTCGTATGTTTTGCTCTCCAGGCCTTTGATCGTCTTAGTTCAGGGGTGAAATGTAAAATTTGTTACTACCAGTTCTGTGGGCATGGCTTGGTGTGTGTGTGTGTGTGGGGGGGGGTAATGTGACTGGGGTGGGCGTGGCCAACTTTATTATTTTTTTTTTTAACTTTTCAAAGCATTTTTTCTAATGCTTTGAAAAAAGCCTCTCTGCCGATCAGGGAACTCAGCTGGGATCGTCAGAGGCTTTTCAAAGCATTTTTTTTACCACCTCTTCGCCCGAACAGGTTGCAGAAAAAAATGCTTTGAAAAGCCTCTGACGATCCCAGCTGAGCCGAGCGATCATCAGAGGTTTTTTTTTTTTAACTTTTAAAAGCATTTTTTCTTATGCTTTGAAAAACTGCTCTGCTCGCCGATCAGGGAACTCAGCTGGGATCGTCAGAGACTTTTCAAAGCATTTTTTTTTACCATCTCTTCACCCAAGAGGTTGCAGAAAAAAATGCTTTGAAAAGCCTCTGACGATCCCAGCTGAGCCATGCGATCATCAGAGGCTTTTTTTTTTTTTTTACTTTTAAAAGCATTTTTTCGTCGAAGAGGTTGTAGAAAAAATGCTTTTAAAAGTAAGGGGAAAAAAAGCCTCTGATGATTGTGCGGCTCAGCTGGGCATGGTGGGGGGGGGCAGGGATTTTTGCTACCGGTTCTCCGAACCACCCGCCACCATCGCTACCGGATCAGGCGATCCGGTCCGAACCGGGAGCATTTCATCCCTGGCTTAGTTGCTCTTCTTTGCACTTTTTTTCCCACAGTCTCAACATCTTTTTTGTAATGTGGGGACCAAAACTGGATGCAGGATTCCAGATGTGGCCTTACTAAGGCTTTATAAAGCGCTACTAAGACTTCATGTGATTTTGATTCTATGCCTCTGTTTATACAACCAAGGATTGTATTAGCTATTTTGGCTGCTGCCGCACACTCCTAGCTCATGTTTAAGTGATCGTCCACTAAGGGTTGAATGATTGTTTATAAATCATTACTTGTGAGTGTTGATCATTTTGGAACTTCTGTTCATGGTATCTTCAAAGGGTGCCAGCCCGCAAGAAGTAGATTCATCCGGTCTTCCTCCAACGGGCTTAGAATATAGAATAACAGAGTTGGAAGGGACCTTGGAGGTCTTCTAGTCCCACCCCCTGCTCAGGCAGGAGACCCTATCCCATTTCAGACTTATGGTTGTCCAGTCTCTTCTTAAAAACTTCCAGTGATGGAGCACCCATAACTTCTGGAAGCAAGTTGTTCCACTGGTTAATTGTTCTCACTATCAACAAATTTCTCCTTAGTTCCAGGTTGCTTCTCTCCTTGATTCGTTTCCATCCGTTGCTTCTTGTCCTGCCTTCAGGTACTTTGGAGAGTAGCTTGACTCCCTCTTCTTTGGGGCAGCCCCTCCAATATTAGATGGCTGCTATCATGTCACCCCTGGTCCTTCTTTTCACCAAACTAGACATCCCCAATTCCAACATACTCATTTCTCCAACTTCTACCAGGTCAAGTTGGTAGGGTGATAATCACACCTTATGTTCTGTCCCCGTCTCACACACGCACACAAACTGATAGCCAGGGGTTAAATAAAACTGGCAGACAACAAATTCTTTCAATAAGAGGATTGGCAGCAACTCAGTAGCTGCTTGCCAAGAACTTTACTCATAGAGGGAGGGGTTGTTCCCCCGTCAGATAAGCCCAAACAAGATACACACAGTTCAAGAATTGTCAAGTCCAGTCCGTATTAAATCCAAGGCAGATAACGTTGTTTCAAAGATACAATGTGACTCGCTAGTAGTTAGTTTTGTCCGTCACAGAGTCTGAATGGCCACCTCACCCCCTTTTATCCCCTGTGGGGTGTAGTCCGATGACTCAGCTTAATCTCTGGCACGCCTCCTTTTCTGCTGCGTGCGCTTGTCTCTCCGACGCTGGCGTGGATCTAGCCAAGACTTATCTCCGTCACTGTCCGATTGCGAGGAGATACCTGGCTCCTGGCCAATCTCTTCTCCTTCGGGAGACACCTGAGGCATTGCCAGAGAGGAGGGTCCTGGAGAGGGAGGCCCGGCCAACTCCTCTCCTTCATGTTCGGAGCCCTCTCCCTCCGATAAGTCGGCCTCGGGGGTCGGAGTCACAACACCTTAGGGGTTTTGCAGTGGGGGGTTTTAAACATTTATGTTTTCATCAAAATGT